CTCGGGCCATGAAAACAGATGCCAAATTTTGCAAATACCTTCTGAAGACCTGTCCATCAGAACTATTTAATCATCAAAATTGTATGGACAATCAAGGCCTTATTAACGGTTCAAAGGCCAGCATTTAAATAGCTAAATGTTGGACTGCATGCAGTACAGAGTTTGCAATTTAATTAATGGGAAATAAATATGAAGTTATAGTATCTATCAGGAAGGAAGCTCAGGGATCATTAAGAGCTGATCTGCTAAAAATATTTAGAAAGGTAAAATTTCCAGTGCCTTTGACAAAAAATGAAATGTCCTTTTTTATAAGAATAATCTTCCTCTTTTCTGAAATGCTTGCCATATTCCATCAGTTTTCATTTCTAGCTTGGTAACCTTCATGTACGTCCAGTAACATTTCAGTTGTGATATTTTTCATGTTAAAATAATTCACCAGCATGTTTGCCTGTAGCCTTCCCTACTCACAAGAATATGAAAACTTATACAGTTCTTACATTGCAAACTTTTTTGGTTATCAATAAATACTAATATACTTTCTGAAAGAATGCATCCCTTTAATTTGTCCTAGAGCATAAAAGTTAATATGCTGACATCAGCAACATAAAAGGTATCTTTTCACAGAATCCCAGAATGGCCTCGATTGGAAAAGCCCTTTAAGATCATCGAGTCCAATCATTGACCCAACACTGACAAGTCCCCTATGACTAACCCATGTCCCTCAGCACTGTGTCTACACCACTCTTCAATCCCTCCAGGGATGGGGACTCCACCACTGCCCTGGGCAACCCCTTCCAATGCCTCAGAACCCTTTCAGCAAAGAAATTCTTCCTCACATCCCATCTCAACTGCCCTGGCCACAACTGGAGCCCATTTCCTCTTGTCCTGTCCCTTGCTCCTTGGTTGAACAGACCCACCCCCACCTCTCTCCACCCTCCTCCAAGGGACTTGCACAGAGCCACAAGGTCTCCCCTCAGCCTCCTTTTCTCCAGGCTCAACACCCCCAGTTCCCTCAGCCACAAGGGAACTCAGCACACTTGTGCTCCAGACCCTTCCCCAGCTCCGTTGCCCTTCTCTGGACACGCTCCAGCACCTCCATGTCCTTCTTGGAGTCAGGGACCCAACACTGAACCCAGCACTCCAGCTGCAGCCTCACCAGTGCCCAGTGCAGGGGGAAGAGAACTTCCCTGGTCCTACTGGCCACACTGGTGCTGATCCAGGCCAGGATGCTGTTGGCTTTCTTGGCTACCTGGGCACTCTGCTGACTCATGTTCAGCCAGCTATCCATCAACACCCCCAGGTATTTAACTATTCACAAGTTTGATATGTTGGAGAATTGAAGTTTAGCAGATTGTTCCCTTGCAGGTTATCATCTCCCGCTTGGTTTTTCAATGATGAAGTCATACTAAATTCCCAAGCAATATTCTGCAGCGTTGGAAGTGCAAGGTCATGAAGTCAGATAGGAATATGCATTATTTTTAAGCTGTTTGTCTTTCACCTGTAAAAGCAAGGAGAACATCTATATGTTGTTTTGGAGGCTTTTTCCTTTTAGTGTAATATTGTCTTTAAAATTACAAAGGCTAACATTGTGTCCAGGCTTTTTTCGAGGTTACCATCACAGCCATGGAGTAATTCCCAATTTAGCTCTTGTAGAGTAACAGGGAAATCAGATTATCATGGTATTAGACCCCCTATCTATAGATTGAAAGACTTAAATGTACAATTCCTTTTCTTAAGGGTACTGCTGTGGCTCTGTAAGCAGTTCTATAGGAGCTGTGAGAGTGAAGTGTGTTAGAACAGTTTCAAAGAGTTTATTGAAGAGGAAATACATGAATGATTGTTTTATCATTCCAGTACAATTTAGGAAATGTATTTGAAACACCCATTTTGGTTGGGTGGTTTCCTAGAGACAAAACAATCGCACACAGCCATCTCTAGGTCTAAACCAGCTTCCTGCTAGGTAGGGACTTCTCTGAAGTGTTTTGAGTCTTCCCCTGAGAGTCCTCTTTAGAGATTACTTTCTCTCTGATGTCTAGCTTTTAAATTTCTGTATCATATCCCATACATTCTTGCTTGGGTTGCTGCTCTCTTTTGCATTAATCTCTGTCTTCTAATCAATAATTGAAGGATACTTGAGCCTAAATCAAATTAAATTTATTCCTGAAGTCGCAGGACGGTTCAGGCTCCTTTTTTTTTTTTTTTTTTTTTTTTTAACTACTCACTGCAGTATCTCTAGGTGGTACAGATTAATTTCATGGATTCTTGTGGACACATATTAGTAAAATGCCCAAATAATTAATGAAGCTAGTGTGGTTTTTGTCTGAGCATAAATCCTGAAAATTGAACTTACTCTTTCTACATGCATAGAAAGAATTTTGCCTTCTCAAGGCAGAATTGGGAGGGGGAGTTTGTTTTCTGCTGGATGTAAGGTGAAATAGCTGTGGACAGCAGAGAGGTTGTTCATAAGGACCCCTGCCATTTCCTTTCTATGGGAGAGACATTGATTTGCATGCAGCTTGGCTCCAAGATGCTTGTAAGATGCATGAATGCTGTAGATTAGCACCTCCATACATAATTTTTTGTGCTTGTTTTCAGTCAGGAATGATTGTTAATGGGGTTTTTGTTTCTTTTCTGAGCATTCTCATTTTTTAATGTGATTTCTTTGAGCTGTTGCCAAGTACACAGCTCTTCTATAAATGTTTCCAAATAGCTTCTTCTTTAAGTTATTTTCTGAGCATCTAATTGCAGAGCTTTTATATTTCAAATACCTGCCTCATGCATGTGGGCAGAAGATTGCTTCTTCCATCAGGACTATACATGGTGAAACCTGCTTCCATTCAGCATTTCAGCTTCTGTACTTCATGCACAGCTTCTGGACCTGTGCACTGTGTCTCGTAGTGTCTGTCAGTCTCTCTTGTCCTCTCTCTTGATTGTTACATTTGTACCTCTGTGTACATCACTTTGAGTGTATATTTTGAGTCACCTTAATGTTTAGTGTAACAACTTGATCTATAGGAATGTCATTTTGGGACCTTCCACTGGTGGAAACCACACTGCAGATACATCCTTAATTGTAGTTCCTGCTGGTGTATGCCCAGAGTGGAAGCTTTAACCATTGCTAATCACTGCTAGGTTTGTTGATTGAGAAGTGTGGAATTGTAGGCTCCAGGTACATTTGAGTTTGTGTCCTCTTCTGTGATTAATTTGTATGCTGCATGAATTCTGTGGTTTGGGACTTTGGTAAGGCTAAGGAAAAAAACCGACCTAAAACCATCTCAAAAACTATATAGAACACAGTGAGAGCATTTCAGTTTACTTTGATTTTTCAGTTTACTTTCTATACGCTCTATAAAGTGGTCGTATGGATCAGTTTTAAACATAGTTGGCACCTTTTCTTGTTACTGGTTCTAACTTGGGCATTTGTTAGAGAGATAGAGTGATACTTTGTCCTTCTTGTACTTCACCACATGAAAGGAAGTTGTCCTTCTTTGTACTCAGCAAGACAGGTCTCTGCAATACAAAAATTGGCATTGCAGTGATGACTGTTAGAAAGTACAGAAATGCATTTAACTTTTTCTTCTTTTCCCTCTAAAACCATGTAGAGCTGTACTAGTGGCTTGTATGTGAGCTCTGGAAATCTATGAACAGAGCTATAAACACTTGTTATCTCAGTGTTATTACTTCCTCAAAACAGAGAATACATGTATTTGACAGCACTGCCTACATCTCCCTATGGTTTGAGTTCTTTCTGCAGGATTTGTGACATGCTGAGGTCCCTCAGGAGGTATCACGGGAGCTGTGTGACTCCAGGCCGCTCCTCCAGCACAGTGCAGCAGCATGTTCTTAAGCTCTTTTCCTGTTGCACTCCTGTTTTTGCTCATTAGAATTCAAAATATTTCGGACCTTGAATACAGTTCTCCTGGATACTGCCATTCCCTAACCTGTGATTCCATTCAAATCATTCCATAGTTTAGGTCACAGTTTTGGAATTACAATATTCCTTATCGTGGGGCGGTTCCAAGCAAAGCAGGCTTTTACCTCAAGGTTATTACAAGGTGTTTCTCAAGCCCCTGTGAGTATGTGAGGATTTGAGAAATGCCCTGCCTTCTCTATGTAAATATACATTATAAATATACATTATAATGTAAATATACATTATAAAAAATTCAAGTATTTATTGCTTGTAGCACACACAGTTAAAATGAAACGGCGCGTCGTGTCCAGCCACAAATGACCACCTCATGCCTCAGAAAACCCCATGCTAAACGTACCTGTTGTGAGCAGGGTGTATGTCCAACATTGAAACTACACCACAGGTTTTTTGGAGCGTTACAGACATTCCAGCCGTTCTCACTGGTAGATGCCCAACTGAAGACCATGACTGGTCTTACAAATGGCAAGTGACCGTTTTTTAAGTCAGCAGTTTCTCTCCTCTGAGGAAGTCTCTCATCGCTCCATGTCCATCCTCAGGATGTGTTCAGAACTAAGTGCACTATCTTTGCCACCTTAAATCTTAATCTGTGTTTCTCCTCAAAAGTCTTCCTCTTCCATCCTGCAGAATGTGGATAAGTGCTTCGTGTTATCCTGGGGCAAAAGTTCCCTTCTTTTAAACCTTACGCTTTTGTCCCTTTCTCTTCCTGTGGCACTTAGACGTCATTCCAGTTCTGTGGTGAGACTTTGGGTGCCTGCATTTCTTCTGAGAGATGCAAGACAAGATTTTGTAGGCTTGTGCTGTTTACTCATACCAAATCTCCTTGCTTTCACCTTGAAGTGATGGAGTGACCCACCACTCTCTTTATTTGTCAGAATTTGTTTGGCTTCCCTTGAAACCTAGAATAGCTCCTCTCCACCCTGGAGAGATGTGGTGGTTCCTTTCAGGTTTCCCCCTGTATCTATGTGATTTTAGTGATAGTTTGATTAGAGAAATCAGAGTTTTTAAAACACATGAGAAAACAGCAAGAATGCTCTAAGAAACAACTTTGGATATACTGATTCTTAAGATGACTGATGAGCTCCCATGTCTGTCTGCCATTTCTACAGATAACCACTCTGCACCTCCAGATGTAACCACTGGCCTGGTGGAACATTTACATCACGAACGTCCACAGGTAGCATCAGTACGAGGAGTTCCCAGAGGCTACAACAGCAGCATTTTGGAAACTGCAGATGGTGATTGTATTATAAACCACCTACCTTTCAATCTCTGTCCTTTTTTTCTGAATAAGCGAATGCACACTCATCGTGTGCTGTGTGCCTGCCCTCTCTAAACCTTTGCAGTAGGATGGTGTATCTGTCAGTCTACCAGAGGAGAGGAAACTGTATTGCATTTCTCATGTTTTGCTGGTGGGAGCCATGTCCTCGTTTCTGTATATTTCTATAATAAATCATAGAGTCATTAAATCATTAAGGTTGGAAAAAACCTCCACAATCATCAAGTCTAACTGTCAACCCAACACTACCATGCCCACTAAACTATGTCCCTAAGTGCCACATCTACATGTCTTTTAAATCCCTCGAGGGATGGGGACTCCACCACTGTCCTGGGCAGACCCTTCCAATGCTTGGCCACTCTTTCAGTAAATAAATTTTTCCTAATATTCAATGTAAACCTCCCCTGGCGCAAATTGAGGCCATTTCCTCTTGTCCTGTCGCTAGTTACTTCAGAGAAGAGACCAACACCTAACTCTCTACACCCTCCTTTCAGGTAGTTGTAGAGAGTGAGAAGGTTTACTGTCAGAGAGGGTCTCACATTTTAATTTGGTATTACCTTAGAGGTTTAAATTTCAATAAATATAAATAAACATACACATTTGTATTTAATTTAAAATAAATACATCACATGCACAAAATAAAATTAGCATTCAACACGGTTTGGTGTTGTGATTATTTTTTGCTAGCCCTGTAAAATATTGAAAGATTCACTTATTTTCTCCAAGCATTCTCAGACTTTCAGAACTGAATGCATGTTAAGCTGTAACGAATACTTAGACACTTGGAGAACATTTTTCATGTTTATTTTGGAATCTCGTGAAGGAGTTGACAGTGTGAAAAGCTAAATTAAAGTGTGAGAAGGTATATGCATCAACCACGTAGCTATGGAACAGCATTGTTTTAAAACAAATAAATCTGTGGTTGAAACTGTTACTGATCAAAGCTGGTTTTTTCCAAACAAGATGCTCATCTTGAATGACTCTTCCACCTAAAAGCTGCACTCAGCTTGGTGTGGTTTTGTCAGCAATGTGGCAGTGTGTGTTTTACCATACGTTTATTAATATGTGGTCAGTAATAAATCATTTTTGTTTGACAGGTGTCCCAGTGAACAGCAGAGTGTCCTCTAAAATCCAGCAGCTTCTGAACACCTTGAAGAGACCAAAGCGCCCACCTTTGAAAGAGTTTTTTGTTGATGATTTTGAAGAGCTATTAGAAGGTTAATTTTCTTTCAAATGCATTTTTCACTCTTTGTGTAATCAGTTCACAAAAGAACTGATATGTCTTAGTGAGCGTTTACTTTTTCTCTTCCCAATAGAAGACAAATCATGATGGAGTTGTTTCATTAGAGAGAGAAAGGTCATACGTTATCACAAGTGAAACATCTTCAACTCAACCCTCCTACTCAGTGTACTTGTTCCTTGCCCTCCTCCCTTGCTTTGGAAACTCTTCTGATTCAGCCCAGTTTGGACCAGTGAGATGAGCTAGTGAATACTAAAGATAATGATTTACAGATATTTGGAGAAATTCTATTCATATGTTTGTCAAAAACTTCACTGGTGCTTCCAGAAGTTGTCATGTTTGGAGATGGTCGCACTTTCACATTTTTCCTGTGAGCACTACAGTTTTAGTTGGAGATAATTTTAGTTGTAGATAGTCCATACCAGGAGAACTTCATCTGGCTTTTTTTTTTTTTTTTACTACATTTTACAGAGGCATAGTGTCATTCTTCATCACCCATGGAGAATTTGGTGCAGCAAAAATAAATGCTGAGTTGTCGCTGACGCCATTCCCTCTGATAATGCTTCTTGACTCAGTGTAGGCCTTCATTTAAATAGATGTGCGGCACAAACAGTGAAAATACCATCTTTCCAAAGTAGGAAAAGAGTGAACTAGAGATTCAAATTCTGTTCCTGGGGCAAGGTCCTTTAAATAATCACACACAGAATCCCAGAATG